TTTTTTATTCAGAGATACATTGTCTTGCCAATGCCGAGATGTTTGCGATCGATTATGTGCCAGCCTTTGGTATCCGCACCAAGTACTCATTTAAGGCTCAGTGGACCTCGGGGAGTCCCTGGATCGGCGCAGATTTCATTCGCCACTGACGTTAGCCATTGAACTCGGGTTGAACCGGCAGGCTTCCAACCTTTCTGGACCCAGCGGACCATTGTCAACACTGAAACAACATTCATCGGGGCCACTATGCAGTTAAAAAAAGAAATGATGGTGCTTTATTTATAAAGAAAATACGTGTTTCTGCAAAAGTTCTGCAAACCACTTCCCCATGGCCTTAAGTACTTTGGGTGTTCGCGTGGCCAGTTGCCCCCCACCCCCCCCACCCACCCATGGAGAAGGGATCCCAGCAGAGGCAGCTCACGAAGTCAGAGCGACGCAGATAAGCGGAATATTTCACCCACGGCCAGTTAGTGGTGGGCGAGGGGGTGGGGGGTGGACCATGGGCATTCATTCGGCCTGTTCCTTCACCTCCCTTGTCCCAAATAGTCCCACGCCAATAAGAATTTCGGCATGCATCCTTGAATGTGTTCCCGTTATGGTTGTGAGTGGTTGCGCAAGTTAGCGCGCCGCGCTACGAACCCGGCGACCCGAGATCGATTCCCGCTCGCGGCCAACGGCAGTGGCGATTATCTGAAACGATCCTGGGCCTCCTCCCCTAGGTCGACTCAGCCTCAAATGAGTACTCTGGTGCAGTGCGTAAAAATATCGCCACGAGGGAGACGAGGGCAGACGGGAGTGGTGCAGGCCACCCACCCCCTCGTGTGCCGTTCAGGCCTTCATAGGTGCCACTCGCTAACAGCATTTTCCCCAACAGCCTGTTAATGCTATACCGCGGTGCAGCGGTTAGCGCGCTGTGCTACAAACCCGACCACCCAAGTTTGATTTCCGCTCATGGCCAACGGCGGTGACGGTCATCTGCAGCTGTACGTACAGTGAGGGAAAAAAGTATTTGATCCCCTGCTGATTTTGTACGTTTGCCCACTGACAAAGAAATGATCAGTCTATAATTTTAATGGTAGGTTTATTTGAACAGTGAGAGACAGAATAACAAAAAAAAAATCCAGAAAAACGCATGTCAAAAATGTTATAAATTGATTTGCATTTTTATGAGGGAAATAAGTATTTGACCCCTCTGCAAAACATGACTTAATACTTGGTGGCAAAACCCTTGTTGGCAATCACAGAGGTCAGACGTTTCTTGTAGTTGGCCACCAGGTTTGCACACATCTCAGGAGGGATTTTGTCCCACTCCTCCTTGCAGATCTTCTCCAAGTCATTAAGGTTTCGAGGCTGACGTTTGGCAACTCGAAACTTCAGCTCCCTCCACAGATTTTCTATGGGATTAAGGTCTGGAGACTGGCTAGGCCACTTCAGGACCTTAATGTGCTTCTTCTAGAGCCACTCCTTTGTTGCGTTGGCCGTGTGTTTTGGGTCATTGTCATGCTGGAATACCCATCCACGACCCATTTTCAATTCCCTGGCTGAGGGAAGGAGGTTCTCACCCAAGATTTGACGGTACATGGCCCCGTCCATCGTCCCTTTGATGCGGTGAAGTTGCCCTGTCCCCTTAGCAGAAAAACACCCCAAAGCATAATGTTTCCACCTCCATGTTTGACGGTGGGGATGGTGTTCTTGGGGTCATAGGCAGCATTCCTCCTCCAAACACGGCGAGTTGAGTTGATGCCAAAGAGCTCCATTTTGGTCTCATCTGACCACAACACTTTCACCCAGTTGTCCTCTGAATCATTCAGATGTTAATTGGCAAACTTCAGATGGGCATGTATATGTGCTTTCTTGAGCAGGGGGACCTTGCGGGCGCTGCAGGAATTCAGTCCTTCACGGCGTAGTGTGTTACCAACTGTTTTCTTGGTGACTATGGTCCCAGCTGCCTTGAGATCATTGACAAGATCCTCCCGTGTAGTTCTGGGCTGATTCCTCACCGTTCTCATGATCATTGCATCTCCACGAGGTGAGATCTTGCATGGAGCCCAGGCCGAGGGAGATTGACAGTTCTTTTGTGTTTGTTCCATTTGCGAATAATCGCACCAACTGTTGTCACCTTCTGACGCAGCTGCTTGGCGATGGTCTTGTAGCCCATTCCAGCCTTGTGTAGGTCTACAATCTTGTCCCTGACATGCTTGGAGAGCTCTTTGGTCTTGGCCAAGGTGGCGAGTTTGGAATCTGATTGATTTCTTCTGTGAACAGGTGTCTTTTATACAGGTAACAAGCTGAGATTAGGAGCACTCCCTTTAAGAGTGTCCTCTTAATCTCAGTTCGTTACCTGTATAAAAGACACATGGGAGCCAGAAATCTTTCTGATTGAGAGGGGGTGAAATATTTATTTCCCTCATTAAAATGCGAATTAATTTATAACATTTTTGAAATGCGTTTTTTCTGGATTTTGTTGTTGTTATTCTGTCTCTCACTGTTCAAATAAACCTACCATTAAAATTATAGACTGATCATTTCTTTGTCAGTGGGCAAACGTACAAAATCAGCAGGGGATCAAATACTTTTTTCCCTCACTGTATGTTGAACTTCTTTCGAGCTTGAGCAAGTCGTGCGAGGCTGAAATGGACAGTGATCTAACGGAGAGCGTAATTCCTAATGAGCCGTTGGGGAAAAAAAAAAGCATTGCCCTTAGATGCGCGAGTATTTCTATCAATAACTTTGAGACAATGCATTATGTGGAGATGATATATATAGGAGTCTGTCACTGTATAGAAGCTCGATACTGTAGGCTGGAAAGGGAAATTAATTATCTGGTTTAAAAAAAATGTTTCAATGAAGGCAATTACATATTGTATTTCAATTAAACCATTAGGAAAAGTGCTTTACTTGTTTATGACCGGAGTTGATGCGCCATTACCTTACCATGATTTTGTAATGTTATACGCTGCACACCACACTGGCTAGTCAAATATTTTTTTTGGTCACACGATTGATTTTTAACAAAGGGCTTTTTTTATAATTCGTCGAGTCAGCGGTAGATCGAGCGGCTCGCGATCGCAAGGTCACGGGTTCAAATCCTGGTTAGGTGGAGGAGGTAGGGGGGAGGTGACTCAGCCAATCGTCCCTTGGGGGTCGTTAAATTGGGTGCCACTTCGTGTGCGTGCGAGTCAACAACGGGTTGTCCGGTGGATCGATTCAACCCCCGACATAGGAATGTGGAATGTCCACCACTGGTTCAGGGTTGAAGAGCAGGAGATGAGCTCAACGTCAATGGGCACTCGCGCGGGGAATCACGTCGACGTTCTTTGACCCCTTGCTTAAATTAATTCGGAAAATCGTTTTGTTGTTTTATCAGCCCGACATATTTCTGTATAATAATAAAAAAAAACGGTTGCGCAGCTGAGCGCGACAAATTCCGGGAGACACGTTAGCGTCTGTAGGCGATGACGGCCACGCGCCCCACGAGCAGCCTCCATCACCCCCCCCCCACCTCCTCACCCCCCCCCTCCCCCCACCGTTCCCTCTCCTGTAATTTAATTTCGCGCTGTTTTCACCGCCGGTGCCAAATTGATGCCCGCCCGATGAGGTTCCCCCACGCGGCAGTGTCTCTGTCTCTCACCTGCCGCAATGCGTGGTGGCAAGAGGGAAATAATTGCGAGATCAATCAAGGGGCATTCGGGGGGCGGCGGTGGGGGGGGGGGGGTATTCTGGCAGGGATTGAGCTGGAAGACCGGGGCGGTAGCTGGTAGTGAAAAACCGCGTGGATCTCACTGCATAGATCCACCAGAGGTCTCGGCGATTCGCAGCTCCGGTCAGCACGGTTGGCTACGTACGGTGCGAAATAATTCCAACGTGCATACGAACAAATACATACACACTCAGAAACACACGGTCTTACACACAAAGGCCATTCGAGACACCGGGGACAGCTGTTGTCACATCGGGGCTATCCCTGCCAAAACCACGAGGCTCTGCAGCTTTGTTGCAAAGTGTATTGAGTTGCATGAAATAAGCTTCGTGCCTTGCATGTCAGGGATGATTTGCCACTATGCGTCGGTGTGAGTAGTCGCGGGGACAAATGCCAGTGAGGGTGCTGGGAAGTCTGGGGACAATTGACACGGGTTTTTTTTCTTCAGCTCACGTGGCAAAGCGGGACCTTTTTTCGCGGCTCTTTTTCCAGAGGCTCGCGGTTCCGAGCCCGGCGGCCGCCCCGGTTAACGCCGCGGGTGGATGAAGGAGAGGATGTGGTGCCGCCTGGTTCACGGTAGATGTTGAGGACCCCGTGATGTTGGTCGAAAAAAACGAGGGCAACTTGTGGAGGCTTTCGCCGTTCGAATTTTGGGAGAGAAAAAAATGTACTTGAAAGTTACTCAATCAGGTAACACCACGTAGCACCATCATTCCTTACTGGCAGACCGTGCTCGTCTGTGAAGCGTGGCACATTCGTCGTCGGCAGCCTTGCGCTTACACGAACAATCTGCGCAAAGAAAACCAAGAAAAACCTCCTGGCATTAAACCTTGCTTCCGTACTTTAATTTGGATAAATTCCACCTCTGGGAATTCAAATATCAGTCTGACCGCCATGCACCATGGCAGAGCGCGGTGAGAAGGCACTGCCCTCGACCGTGCGGACCCAGAGGTCACCTCGAAGAGCATCTCAGATGTGGCTCTGCGATATCCGCTTCCGTGGTGTCGTTCTCGGACGCGATGGGGGAGGGGTGAGTCGCGCTGCTCCTCCGCTTACGCCGAACGACGCCGCGCGGCCGATGGCAACAATCGCGACAAAAACTCCGTGGGGACAAACAAAACAAACAAAACAAATCACCAAAAACGGAGAGGAGAACGGCGCCAGCAACACCGAGCGCGACTGACGATCTGTCCTTTGGGCGGGCAGGCGCGTGGGTTGGCGGGCGTGCGGGGCAGGGCGGTTTGCAAGGCTTGCGCTGAGCCGGCTCCGGCGTGTGATGCTGTGACCGTGTCTTGAACAGGGCGCTTTGATCAGCAGATGCTCCGACGACAGCCTCCACCTGTGGAACCTGCGGCAGAAGCAGCCGGCGGTGCTGCACTCGCTCAAGTTCCACAAGGAGAGGTGGGTCTCGCGCGGCCTCGCGAACTACAAGCAAATCAAAGGTAGCGCCGCGGTTTCTTTGCTGCCACTCGGACGAGTGGTACGCAAAAAATGGTCTCGCTCTTACCAAAGACAAAGATCCCCCTTGTAACCTTAACAGGATGTTGGGGCAAGTGCATGTTAGCGAGTGGCACCTATGAAGGCCGGAACGGTACGCGAGGTGGTGGGTTGCCAACATCGCGCCCAGCCGCACCAGGTACTCATTTGAGGCTGAGTCGACCTAGAAGAGACCCAGGACTGGATCAGATAATCGTCGCTGCTGTTGGCCACGTGCGGGAATGGAACTCGGGTCCCCGGGTTCGTCACGCTGGTCGCGAACTGCTACACCGCAGCAACCAAAGTCAAAATCGGTCGTCTGCTCCAAACGAGCAGCATTTCAGGTTGGGTGAACGGAGCGCTCGGCTATGAAACTCCGTGGGACAACCCCCCCCCAACCCCCCGTTTCTCCCGTCCACACGATCGACGAAGGACGCCTTGCTCCTCATTGCGCGTGAGCACCGTCAAACATTCATCCGCCCGGGCAGGCGTTGGCGACGGGGGCCCGGTGTCTCGAGACCTGCGCTCTGCCCCTAACCTTCGCCGCAAGTCGGCTCGGCTCGCAGCGTCATCCCCCACCCGCGCGCTCCGGCCCCCCGGGTGGCTGCACCGTCTGTCTCGGCCGCACGGCACTCCACGCTCCACGCTCGGCACGTCGAGCCGAAGGCGGTCGCGGGCAGCGGCGGCTCGGGGCGTCGCACGGCGCCAGCGTTTGGGGCGGGTCACGCGTGCGGAGCGGCCGTGTGGGACGTCGGCGTCGCGCGTGTCGCCCGGCACGAGAGTGTGTGTGTGTGTGTGCGAGTGCGTGTGTGTTTGTGCGTGTGTGTCTGTGTGTGTGTGTGCGTGTGTGTCTGTGTGTGTGCGCGTGGAGGAGAGCGGTGGTGTAGTGGTTGGAGCGCTGCCCTACGAACCCGGCGACCCGAGTTCGATTCCCGCTCACGGCCAACGATTATCTCAACCGGTCCTCGGGCTCCCTTAGGTCGACTCAGCCTCAAATGAGTACCTGGTGCGGTGTTGAAACATCGCAACTGGGGAGACAAAGGCGGCCGGGCGTGGTGTTGACCACCCGCCCCCTCGTGTACCTTGCCGGCCTTCATGGGCGCTCGCTAACAGCACTTGCCCCAAAAGTCTGTCAAGGCTCTCCGGGGGATCTTAGTCTTTGTGTGTGTCTGCGTGGGGAGCGGTGGTGTAGCGGTTAGGGGCGCTGCGCTACGAACCCGGCGACCCGAGTTCGATTCCCGCTCACGGCCAACACCGGCGACGATTAGTTGAACCGGCCCTTGGACTCCCCGAGGATGACGGGCGGCATGCACAGCGACCGCCACCGCTGGCTCGCTCGATGCTCGGTGCCGGTCCCTCCCAATGGACACGTTCCCGTTACTTCCACAAGACAGGGATCTTGGAGTATTGATTTTGCCACTGTTTGAATGTGCGTCTGTGCGTGTCTGAACTTCTGTGTGTGTCTGAGCTTCTGTGTGTGTGTGCGGAGCGGTAGTGTAGCGGTTAGCGAACCGTGCTACGAACCCGGCGACACGAGTTCGATTCCCATTCGTGGCCGATACCAGTGACGATTATCTGAACCTGTCCTGGGTCTCCCCTAGGTCAACTCAGCTTCAATGGAGTACCTGGTGCGGTGTGTAAACATCACCACTGGGGAGACAAAGGCGGTCGGACGTGGTGCTGGCTACCCAACCCCGTCGTGTGCCGTGCAGGCCTTCATAGGTGCTGTTCGCTATCAGCACTTGCCCCCAAGGAGTCTGCCAAGGCTACACGTGGAGGGCGGTGGGGGGAATGAATCATTGCCGTCTGCCTTTGGTGTGTGCGCGCAGCATCGGCTGCGCCCACCTGCCATTCCAGAGCAAGTGGCTCTACATCGGCACCAAGAAGGGCAACATCCACGTGGTGAACGTGGAGTGCTTTCAGCTCTCGGGCTACGTCATCATGTGGAACAGAGCCATCGAGTTGTGAGTGTGCGCACGTGCGCCAGGACCACACACACTCTCATACACACACCCTCACACACACTCACACCCTCACTCAGACTCACACACTCACTCAGACTCACACACACTCACTCAGACTCACACACACACACACTCACACACACTCACACTCACGCACTCACGCACACACACAGACGACAACGATTCGCACAGATGCAATTTATCTTACGGGACCTTTTGTTGTTGTTGTTTTGCAAGTTTCAAAATGATGAAATATACGAGAACACTCGTTACCCTTTCTGGCGATAGAACAGGAGGTGTTCAGATGTTCAAACACCAAAGAGGTTCCTTTTTGCAAGGCATCAAGTCTGCATTAAGCACACGTCATACATGGGGCAAAACATGCAAAGAAACATGTTCTGATAATTCACTATGTAACACAATTTTTGTTCCTGGGTACTAAGTCTTATTTTTTAATTGCGTATGCCTAAAAAGTATAGAAAATGCCTATTATTCCACGTAAACTTTGCTTTTGTGACCAGGACTTTATGTGAACGAAAGACGCAAATACACACCACGTTGTCTCATTGAAAATAGGTAAATTTCAAAATATCGCTGTCCTCGTCACAATGCAAAGTTTTTGGGGAATAATAATAGCCATTTCTGTACTTTTGAGGCATAAGCAATTAGGAATAACACTTACTACCCAGGAACAAAAAATATATTTTTGTTACACAGTGTAACGTATGCATTGTCTTTGAAACGAAATGGCCTACTCCAGAGACAGCCTCTTTTGTAATGCATTTCAGAATTAGCTAAATTAATGAGCGGACATCAGCACCTCCTTCACATATTTGTCCGTGCACAGTAAACGTGGACCCCTCGTTTGCTCCGTCTGTATGGGATAGAGCGTTGCTCCCTCGCACACACGTGCGTTTCCTCGGGGTACTCCGGTTTCCTCCCGCATGTAAACACTCATTAATTGTCCGCTAGCAACCTTGACACACAGAGGGCGGTGGAGTTAGGGGAATTGTTGGTGCCTACTCATTGCCTGCTCTCTGCGTTTCCCCGCTCGTCTGTGGTTCTTCCTCGCACGTTGGAATCATTATTATGAATTGTTAATTTAAAAAAAATTGTTACACATTCCATCGAGCCGCTAGGCCTTCTGGGAGTGCGTCATTTCAGAAGCATTTGTTGAACGCAAAGCGCGTGCTGCGCGAAGTGTTTTGAGAGTCAGTGTCTCGACAGCAGAGCGAGTCTCGCTTGGATCAATGATGTTGAACCGCCTGATGTTCAGAGGCAAGCGACGTCCCTGTTGAACATGGGCCGCAGTTCGACGCGACGACTCCAGAACGCATCACTCAAAACAAATCACGAGCGTCGTTGCGGAGAATTTAAGGAACAAAATAGCTGAGCATGACAGCGTGCCTCCTGCGCATCAAACATGGTGCGTGTTGTGCTTGACGCGTCCGTCGATTCCAGAGTCGTACTTTCGCCGTCAAACAGCGTTCAAGGGGTGCAAAAATCAGCGCCAGGTTCGGGCAGCGAGCGGGACGGAAAAAAAAAATTGAAAGCAATTTAAAAATCCTTCGTAAAATATGTGATCGTGACTTTCCATTCTACGTGACTTTACCGAAAGAACCAAGACGATGAATCCCTGCAGTCACGAAAGCTTTAAATCGAAATTTGATCGTATACAAGATAAGATAATAATAATTAATTATTTTCATTTTTCGATTTAAAGCTTTCGTGACTGCAGGGATCCATCTTCTTGGTTCTTTCGGTAAAGTCACGTAGAAGGGAAGCAATAAAATAATTAAAATAAAACATAATAAAATAAAATAATTCTCACGACGTTTCGGCCACCTGAGGACGGCTGCTTGCGTTGTGGCCGAAACGTCGTGAGAATTATTTTATTTTATTATGTTTTATTTTTATTATTTTATTGCTTCCCTTCTACGTGACTTTACCGAAAGAACCAAGAAGATAATTATTTTCATTTAACACACGCTGACGTGTGCGTTATTGACGCATTAATTATGTCGAGAGAGGAACACGTTTTTGTTGTTGTTGTCGTCGTTGAAATACCAAATCGTTATTATACACCGATAGAATGTTTGCGAAAAGCTGACATGAAAGCGAATTGACCACGCCGGAAAGGTGAGAGTGTAAATGCCCTTTGAAGTGTGATGAAAGCCTCACATGCTAATGAGGAGAGATGAAGAGGCATTGAATTGACGGCGCATTCGCACTGAACGGCCGGTGCGGGTTTAGCGTGCGCGCTGCAGAAAACAACACCGAGGACAGAGAGTCACCACCCAACGCTGCGCTTCTGAGTTCACGTGGAGATGCGGGGGTGGGGGGAGGTGGGCGAGATTTGGCTCACTGCTGCGAGCGCGGTGTTTTGTACTTTCATGTGGGGAGCGAGAAGGGGAGGGGGTAGAGGGAACGGGATGGGGATGAACGTGGGTGGGGGAGGAAGTCGTCTGTGCTGTTGCACCACTGCCGACGCAGCAGCAGCAGCAGCATCACCAAATAATTCGTCGCGTGCTGCTGGTGTGGACCGTGCGAGATGTGATTTGGCAAAGCGGCTGCGCTGGGTGGGAACTATCGGTGCAGGATTTGCGGGGGGGGGGGATGGCCGATTGACATCGACTGAACACTGCCTATAGACTTAACACTGCCCATAGACTCAACACTGCCCATAGACTCAACACTGCCCTAGACTCAACACTACTCACATACTCAACACTACCCATCGACTCAGCACTACCCATAGACTCAACACTGTACCATAGACACAACACTGGCCACAGACTCAACACTGCCCATCGATTCAACACTGCCCCAGACTCAACACTGCCCTAGACTCAACACTGCCCATAGACTTAACATTGCCCATAGACTAAACACTGCCCTAGACTCAACACTGCCCAGACTCAACACTGCCCATAGACTCAACACTGCACCATAGACTCAACACTACCCATAGACTCAACACTGCACCATAGACTCAACACTGCCCATAGACTCAACACTGCACCATAGACTCAACACTGCCCATAGACTCAACACTGCCCATAGACTCAACACTGCCCACCAAGGGTTTGGGGCTGAGAGCAGGTGAAACTAAAACACAGACAACGCAAAACGTACGCCAGTTTGGTAGTAAAAAAGAAAATAGAGTAACGTGTCATCGGTTTAATTGTAGACCTTTGCGGTCACGTGGGCAGGGAGTCACTGACCTTCGGCGAGTGAGGAGCAGCTGGTTAAATTAATTAGCGACGGCGTGGAAATTTATATAAATAGTAAAATATGTGAAGCGTGCACTAAAAGCTACTATTCATTCTCATCGCAGGCGCGGTAAATCCGCAGCCCGCAAATGACAAAGAGCCAACCGTAGAAAAAAGAAGTTTATAAAATGTCGTGAACACCAGCAAATCCTCGTTTATTACGACCGGATAACGAAGCACAATTAAGGGACGTGCGAGCGCGTGGCCGCAATGAATCACGCCGCTCCCTCCGTCATCGCGCGCGCTCAATAACCCACGGGCAGCATCCCGAAAACGAATCGCCTGAAAGCTGCGGGGGGGGGGGGGGGGGGCCATTGAGTTCGGGGGGGGTGGGGGATGAAAGGCGACTCCCACGGCCCCCGCCTCCTGAGGCCGCGAGCGTCTGCGACACAGAGCCCGGCTCGCGGCCACCACGAGCGCAGTTACAGCCCGGGGTGGCGCCTGAACTGACCCCCCCCCCCCGTCTCGTCCCTCCGCCCCCCCTGCCCCCCCCCCCGTTCCTCCGTCTCCCCATCCCCTCCCCGTCTATCCGCCATCCCTGTCCCCACCCACTGTCCCTCCACTCCCCCCGTTTCTCCAGCTCCCCCCCCCCCCCACCGTGCCCTCGCTTTGTCTCCGTCACCGCAAGAGCCACCAGACCACCCTACAACGCGTTCCCTATTCCCATACCCTCCCTGCCTCCACTGCCTTCCCCAATTCCAGATAAATTGCTGCAACGATCGTAGCCATCCATCATCCCCCCCAGACGCGAACCCTCCCCACCCACCCCCACCCCCCCAGCACTGTGCTGTGGCCGCGCTCCTTCTCTGCGTGGATCTTTAATTTGCCCGAGAAGGAAAGGCTGTGGTGGTGGTGGCGGGGGGTTATTTTTTTTTATTTTATCAAGGTGGTCACATTGGGACGTGAGGGTTAAGCACCGAGCAGCCGGCACCTAATCCATTACGCTGGCACGCTAAGTGCTGTCAGCGAACTCTCCGCGCCATCCCGCCTCTCCCGGCTTGGATGTGAAACACCCCGAGGTGCTGTCTAAGAAGCCTCGGGTTCTCCCACGTGGTTTTGTATTCCTACCCCCCCCCTCCTCCTCCGCCCCCACCCCCACCCCCGAGTTCATCCCAATCGTTCGTTCGGCATCGTCTCGTAAGACGAAGCGTCCGCTCAGATCTCTCCGTGTCATTCGCGCGGTTCCCCGCGGTAAGCGGACATCGCAGAGCCAAATTTCGATTTAAAGCTTTCGTGACTGCGGGATTCGTCTTCTTGGTTCTTTCGGTAGAGTCACGTAGAAGGGAAATAATAAAATAATAAAAATAAAACATAATAAAATACCATTCTCACGACGTTTCGGCGTTGTGGCCGAAACGTCGTGAGAATTATTTTATTATGTTTTATTTTTTATTATTTTATTATTTCCATTCTACGTGACTTTACCGAAAGAACCAAGAAGATCGCAGAGCCGCTTCCGAGCGACGCCTTCAAGAGTGCCGCTCTGGTCCGCACTGGTACAGAGCGGGCAGCCCCTTCGCACCAGCGCTGCCGCACGTCACGTGGTGCAGCAAAACCCGACGTTGTGGTGATTCACGCGCCTGGGATTTGATTTTTTGCTTTGCGCGAAACCACATTTTAACAGCGGTGGGGTTTTTTGGCAGTCATTCGGTGATCGCCGGTGTTCCCCACGTGTGAATGATCGCCGCCCGTCGTCTCTTCCCACCCACGTGACTTACCAGACAGCTG